CCTGGACCCTCTCTGGCTGTGTGGCATCTACTGAGAGCAGGCCCCACAGCACACCTAGGGATGCTGGGATCACATGCAATCCCACCCTCTGAGGAGCTAACAGCTCATCCATCGATGTGGCAATTTGAATGGATGCAATGGTGGCTCATGAAAGGGGCAGTTCTATTTGGTTTTGGGTGGGGGTGTGTGTCTGTGGGAGGGAGTTGTCAAAAAGGGCTATGGAGAAGATGGTATTTTCTAGACCTGTGTCTTGGAGGATTTTTATCAGTTTGGAAGAAAAGGTCAGGGAGTCAAGGCAGATAAGGGAATTACAGGCAGAGGGAACACAAGAAACAGACCAGGGGCTTCAGCTTGCTACCAGCTGGGATCTGCTGAGCACGGTCCCTAAGGTGGGGGTATGCCAGGACTTTGGCTTTAATCTCTTTGGCTGTGTAGGGGTAGGGGCGGGGTGGGGTGGGTGAGCAACTTACGGTTAGGGTCGTGGTCAACTGGAGATAACTACAAGCATCTCCCACCTAGCACTTACATAGAGGTCTGAGGCTGTTGTGGGAGCCATACAAGTATTCATGTGTGTAAGAATCACAGCAGCCTTAGGTACTACTCACCGTCAAGGTCCCCGTCTTCCAAATGGGAGGACACTCAAGGTTGCACAGAAAAGCCAGATAGGATTTGAACAGGGCAGGCTGGCTCCAGGTCAACCGCTGTTGTGGGCTGTGTTTCCCAGGCAGCTGGGATGGAGCTGCAGGGGATCAAGGAAACACGCCCAGGAGTTGGCCTCAGGAGTTGGGATGCGGATGAAGTTGGCGGGGGACAGGGCGAGGACTGGGAGTTGATGAGGGCATGGGAGAGTAGGGGATGTGTGGGTGAGGGTGGAGCCACAAGTCTCCCAGAGGTCCTGGTACCATTCACTGAGCTGTGGAAACAAGACAAAAGGAGGCCTTCTCGGCCTCAGTTTCTCTATATGTTAAATGGGGACAGAAACACCATGGCAGTGTGCACTGCAGGTGCTCTGTCAACATAGCCTGCCCCTTGCAGCTTCACCTGGGGTCCTGCCCACTGTTATACACACATCTGCTGTCCCCTCTGTCCCCTTCCTGTTGCCTTTTGGGCACCCTGTGCACTGGGAATTTCTTTATTTCCTCATGGAGCTAGAAGTGGCTTTGAAGCCTGGCTCTTTAGAGGGAGGGAGGTTCAAGGGATGTACGTTGGAAATGCAGATGGGCAGCAGGAACACCTTTTATTTTTGTTCAGAACATCTGAGTGTCTCCGCGGGGCACCCCCCACCCCTGAGAGTGTGGCCTCCCCTTATTGCAGACAGGATGTGAAAGCACGGTGGGGGGTGGGGGTGTCTGCTGTGAGCCTGGGGCAGGCAGGGCTGGGTAAGACTGTCATCTTCCCGCCCCACCCCTGCCATTCCATTCCACCGAAATAGAAGGATAGAAGGACCGAGGTGTCAGCCCCAGGGAGGGAAGCCTCTGAAGCAGAAAACAGCCTGGGAAGGAAGGCTGAGGGAAGCAAGTGTGTTAATATTCACAGGGCAGCAGCGGTCATTCCTGGGTTTTCTGTTTCCACGGCAGGCAGACAATCACCAGCCTTGCTCAGCAGAGCCTGGGAGGCAAGACCTGGGCTTGGTTTACAAACTGTTGGGTGATTGGGCAACTCATCTCCCTCTCTGGGCCTCAGTTGTCTCATCGGTAGCCTGAGGGACTGTGACTAGGTCCTTCCGTGTTGTGACATTTGCATCCTTGACAACTTGGCGGCCCATCCCGGCCCTCAGCATCCCCCCCTCCTATCATCTGGATGGTCTGCTGCACCTCTGGAAAGCAGCAGGGACATAAGTGTTAACATTGAGGGGTGGTGGGTTTGCCTAGAGCCCCCTCCCTGGGAGGTGGGCAGGGGCACATCCAGGGACAGCCCAGCCATGGACCAATGCATTTGGGGGAGGGGGCTGCTGTGTCAGCTGTTAACCCTTTATTCCTGGGGGACCATCTGGGGGGTCCCAGGGGAGGGCTCAGGGAGTCAGGAAAGGGAACCATGTGTGGGGGTGGCTGGGAGGGAGGTGTTTGGGGCAGGATGTATGTATCAACTGGTATGGAAACATTTCACCATTTTGGCCACCTGTGTGACTGCATGAGAGCCCTGCTATCTATCTGTCAGCCCTGTGTGTGGAGGGAGGGACAGGAAAGGCTGCTGGGGCCCAGGAGTCACTTTCTGGCCACCATCAGAAAAATTCCTTTCACTCAGTGGGTGGCAGGTCACTGTTTCCAGTTGGCCCAGCCTCCCAAGGCCTGTGGCCGCAAGGAAGGGAGGCTTCCTCCCCCCACTCCACCGAGGCTCCACGGCCTGGCCACGGCAGGAAACTGCCTCAGTGCTGGGTCCTCTGTGCCTCCCTCAGCTCTCTTCCCTCCCCCAGTGGCCTCCACCCTCACTCATATCCCCCATCCGCCAGACGGGGACCCTTCCCCTCGGCTTTGCCTGTTGGGCAGAGGAGAAAGTTGAGATGAAGTCACAGGAGCAGGTGCAGGTTAAGGGCAGCTGGTGGGGGATGGAGAGACTCTGGATTCTCGGTGCAGGGCCCCTTCTCTGCCTGCTGCCCCGACTTCCCTGTGCAGCAATTTCACTTTCTATTTTAAACAGTTTGGGTTGGTTGCTTCCCTGCCTTCCTGCTGGGTGTTTATAGTGAGGAAAATAATTGGTAATATTTGCACAGATGTGCTAGCGCGGCAGCTCATCACGGGCACCTTTACCCGGGGGACCCTCCCTGCCCCCAGCCTCTCTCTACCAGCCTGAGGAGCCAGCCTGCAGCGGGGTAACAGCAAGCCTCCCTCCACCCCCAGTCTCTCAGGAGCCTCAGGCGCTGAGGCTCAGGCAGAGCTGGGAAGCGGAGGCCAAGAAAGTGCCCTAGGCGCACCCAGAGGCAGGCCTCAGCTGGATTGGGGGTGGGGGGGTCCTGCCCCTGCTGCAGGAACTGATCTGAAGGAGCCCAGGCTCTGCAGAATGGGCTCTTTCTAAGGGACTGTGTAGGAGGAGACCACCTGGGGGCTCCGTTTCTGATTCCATTTTCTCCTGCAGAGTCTGAATTTGCTTCTGGGGTAAGGGAGGAGGTAATAAGGAGGGGGAGCAGGTGATCATAGAAAATCATTGGGCTTCTTCTCCCCCATCTCAAGGCCTGAAAGCAGCATTCTGGGGGGCTAGGGAGGAGGTGGGGATCATCTGGGCTGTGAGACAGGGCCTGGACTGCTGTGTGTGCTGCCCACTGCCCATTCTGGGGCCCGGCCAGCCTGGCGATGGGGCGAGACTGCACAGCTGGCAGGGCCAGGTGAGACTCCTCGGCCACCACATCTCCTTCTTTACCCGTTACATGCGGGTGTGCATCTGTGAGCGTGGCCTGCAGTACTTGTGCATGTGTGGGCTGTACCCGTGTGTGTGTGTGCGCGTGCGCATGATTGCACGCCTGTGCCTACATGTGCGTGTGCATGCATGTGCACATGTATGCTAGATATATGTACCATGTACACACATGCATGCGCTTTGGTTTGTTCTCCCCTAGAAGCCGACCCAGAGACAAGGATTCAATTGCAGGTAGACGACCCCAGATAGCAGAGCAGGAGAGTGAGGAAGAAGGTGAGGTGGGGAAGGTAGCCAGTGAGGGCCATGGTCTCAGCGAACTGGGGCCATGGCAAGTGTAGGATAAGACTCAGTTTCTCCCAGCCAGAGGGCAGAAGGTTGGGGATTTCTGTATGCCAGCTTCCATCCGTCACTGAGTGAAGCCTCCGGACAGGGCTGTTGGCTCTCAGGCACTTTGGCTTGGCCTTGCCTAGTGTCGCAGAGTTCCCAGGGAACAGCCTCGGATGTGTGGAAGTAAATGTCGAGTGGCGCTAGGTGACACCGCAGGGCCTGATGCTGCGTGGTGGGTGTGGTGGCTGTGGTGGGTGTGGTGATGTGTAGCTGCTGGGGTGAGGGAGCTGCAGGAATGACCGGCTTGGTCCTCCAGCCCCTGAAGGTGTATGGCAAACAGCCTCAGGCCAAGCCGCCTTGGGGGGGGCTGCCCCAGCTGAAGACAGCCTCCTCCCCCCAGGCCCTTCTCCTTTTCTGGGTGGCCTACATCCAAATACGGTTTGCTGCAGGAGGGTATAAAGGCATGGCCCTTTGTCCCAACTTAACCCTGAAGGGCATCCTGACTCCAGACCCCACTGCATCTAGGCCTGCCTCACAGTCTGACCTCCCCCTGCCCAGATCTGCCTCCTCCTCCCTTCCTCAAATGATACCCCAAGATCAGCCCCTAATATACACCTGGTGCTAATCTCTGTCTCCAGGGCGTCCAGCCCATGCAGCATGTGTGTGTGCAAGAGAGAATAGCTGGGTCTTGCTGGGGGACACATGCAGGTGTGGGGTGTGCAGACCCCACCTCCCCCAGGGCCCTCCACACAAGGTGATCTGAGGCCAAGCTGGTCCCTTTGCTGGCCTGGGCAGAGCTCCTGGGGGCCTCGTGGGGAGAGGATACTGGAGCTTTGGTGCCCAGGCCGCGGCCTGAGGAGGAGATGGGCCCCTCCCCGCACTGCCCTGGAGCAAGAGGGAGGTACAAGGGACTTGAGAACGGGCACCAGGGGAGTGGGGCTCCTTGGTGCTCTTCAAGCCCCGTGTTCCCCCTTGATAGCTACAGACAGCTCAGCAGAGCCTCAATCACCCTTCCTCCGGACCTGCAAGCTCTTGAACCTAGAAGGGACTTTCCTTCAGGCACAGACCTTGTCTTGTCCTGCGTGGAGTCAAGTGCACGCCATCACTCTACGTCCAGGCTACTCTGAGCAGAGCAGTTGTGGGGTGGGTGGGTACTCCGGCCACCTCTTCTCCTAAGACCTTCTTGAGAAAACTCCCAGGGGCCCAGAGCAGCAGATATGTGGCTGGAGGACAGTCCCGGAGGCCAGTGGGCTGCAGGCAAGGTGGAGGCAGGTGAGGACACTAAGAGGCCCAGAGGACACCAGTGTTACAGAAATGTTTATTACAAGGATAAATATATACAATTGTGGGATATTAAAACCACTGATCCTGGGCCTGTGGGACTTCAGGGGATGCAGGGAGTAGAGGGTGGGGGCAAGGCCAGGTTGGGGAGGATGGTGGGACAAGGTGGGCCAGTGGTCGATCCACAGCCCTGGGCTCTGGGTGCAGCCTGGGAATGACCAAGTCCCCAGATCCTGCACAGTTGGGTCTTTTGCTTGAGCCCAGACAGGCCTGCCCTCCCAAGGTACCGCCCTCCTGGCTGCCTGGATGCCTCTAAAATTCTGGATGTTCCCTAGTGGCTGGAGGTGTTGGGAGCAGCTCTGATTAGGGACATCAGTGAAGACGGCTGACCCCCAGCATTCTGAGGTGGGAAAACATCACTGGTCTTTGAGAGCATGCTGCCTAACCTTCTTCTCTGAGGTGGTGAAGCCTCAGAAATGGCTGTAGTTTGGCTCCAGCCCAGATGCCCTAGGCATAATCCGAATAGCTTGGGAGACTCCTGCCATGTCCCTGTTCATGAAAACTAAAGGTTATGGGGAAACAAATCTCCTAGATGAATTCTCTTCATCCCTCTAGACCTTGCTCAAGGGACACCTCCTCCAGGAAGACTTCTGAGCACTGCTGGGTTGCTCAGCCCCCATGCCAGTCCTGTATCCTCCCCTCGTTTACATTCATGACTCCCCAAGGCCTCTCCTTGCTGCTTTCCCACAGGGCTGGATCTAGGGCCCTCTGCTCAGTGGCTGGTAGGCTAATGACACTCTCTGGGATGGTATTAGCTCAGGGCCTCCCAGGAGGAGACCAGAAAAGGATGATAGAGGTGGGGACCAGAGGTGGAACAGGGAGGCCTAAGTAGTCTGGCAATAATTCAGGACCTCTGTCATCACATCTGTCTTTTATTCCTGCACAAGGAAGCTCTAAGAACCTACCCTGGGTGTAGAGCTTACATGCCTGGGACTCTTCTTCTCTATCTAGAATCTATGGTGTCTTGCAAGCCCACAGGAGACAGCCAGGAAGAGCCAGGGCCCCCTGTGTTTCTGTGTCTTTCCCTCCTGATTGGCTGGAGGTCTTGGTCTCATGGGGCCCAAGAATGGAGCTGGGGAAGCTCAGGTTGTCCCCAGAGTGGAGACTCCGATTAGCCCGAAGAACTGGGTCAGATCCCCTACCCCCAGGTGTCCTTTTATCTCCCAGTAATCTTCTGCTTTTTCTCTGTGGAGAGGCTAGAAGATTGGGAAGTGGGCTGCTGGCCTGGCAGGTGACCCGTGGTGGGAGGGGGGACAGAATAGGCTGAGTTCCCAGCCAGCCTCAAGCCAGAGGTAGGTCCTGCCTAGATGGCTTGGTGGGCAGCCCTATTCTCTCTTGCTTCCTGACATAGCCTGGGCGAGAGGGTGGTGGTCCTGGTTCTGCTCTGATACTGGGGGCTGTAGACAAGAAGTGATGGTGGAGCCCTGCCAGCTACAGCCTGGGAGGCCTCCCCACAACAAGCCAGGATTGTGGATTGTCTTCCGGGACCAGGGCTCTCCAGAGAGTCTGCAACCCTAAGCCTCACCACCTCCTTTGGCAGAGAGGTGAGCCAGGGTGCCAGGCTCTGCTGGCCACTAGCCATGGCCATTCTGGGACATGTAAGCTGCCAGAGCCACCACCACGGCCACATAGAGACCGGCGCCCACGGCGATGGAGAGTGTGGCCAGGAAGAGGGCTCTGCGGGAGGTGGTGCTGGCCAGGCGGAAGTCTCCCTTGGAGATGGCCTTGCTGGTCTAGAGAGAGAGAGATGCTGGTAAAAGGACATGTCCCCACGGCTGGGAACGCAGCCCCAGCCCACCGGGCTCCCACCCAGTGCTGCACATGGAGGGTCAAGCCCTCCAGTGGAGGGAGGGGGCAGCAGCAGATGCCCTGTGCCCCTCATGCTCTTACCCCCTGGGAGAAGTAGAAGGCAGCGATGCCCAGGGGCCAGAAACAGCAGAGCATGGAGAAGATAGTAAGGCCCAGGTGGTCCCTGGGGGGCAGCGCCATGAAGTTGTCTTCACTTTCGCTGTCTGTTGAGGTCACATCACTCTGCAAAACACGAGTGGGCTTTTGAGAACAGGCCCAGGATCACCAGCGGCAAAGACGTGGGACCACAGGTAGTGTCATCTCCTGTGGGTGGGAGTGTAGGTTGGGCTTGGTACTCTCTACCCAACTTAACTGTGGCCCACTGATTACCTCCTTTGGAATTAGCACAAGCATATAAAGAAAGAATATAAGTATTAATGTATAGGCATGTGTATCACCAGATAGTAATTGTGAAAGAAGAGAGGTTGAGTTAAGTGATGGAAGAACATACAATGGGGTACCATGAAACCCTTAAAAATCACCTTGTAGACAAATATTAAATTACATGGAGTGATACTGAGATACGTTGCTTAGAGAGAAAAATCTAGTTATAAACTATTTACAGCAAGGTCTTTTTGGGGGAGTAGGGTGGGAGAAAATCATTGAACAAAAAAAGACTAGAACATCATCTATTAAAATAATGTTCTCTTACTCTAGATGCTGGCGAGGATGTGGAGAAACGGGCACCCTCCTACACTGTTGGTGGGAATGTAAACTGGTACAGCCCCTCTGGAAAACAGTGTGGAGGTTCCTCAGGAAACTAACAATAGAACTCCCTTATGACCCAGCAATAGCACTGCTAGGAATTTACCCAAGGGATACAGAAATGCTGAGGCATAGGAGCACATGTACCCCAATGTTCATAGCAGCACTCTCCACAATAGCTAAAACATGGAAAGAGCCTAAGTGTCCATCAACAGATGAATGGATCAAGAAGATGTGGTTTATCTATACCATGGAATACTACATGGCAATGAGAAACAATGAAATCTGGCCATGTGTAGCAACATGGATGGACCTTGAGGGTGTTATGCTGAGCGAAATAAGTCAGGCAGAGAAGGACAAATATCATATGTTTGCACGTATAGGAGGATTAGGAGGAACTTGACGGAGGAACAAGGGGGAGAAGAAGGGCGGAAATGGTGGGGGAGAGGGAGAGAGGCAAACCATGAGAGACTCTTGAATGCTGACAAAAACTGAGGACTGATGGATGTGGGGGGGAGGGGGGGATGGGCATGGAGGAGGGCACTTTGGGGATGAGCACTGAGTGTTATGTAGAAACTAATTTGACAATAAACTATTTGTAAAAAAAAAAAAAAAAAAAAAATTAAAAAAAAAATTAAAATAATGTTCTCTTCCAGTGGTTTTCTGTATTTTTAAGTTACTTATGTAATTAAGAAAACAAGAGCAATAAATGCTATTACAAAATTAAGTTATTGGAGCACCTGGGTGGCTTAGTCGGTTAAGTGTCTGACTTCAGCTCAGGTCGTCATCTTGCGGTTTATGCATTTGGGCCCCACGTCAGGCTCTGCATTAAGAGTGTGGAGGCTGCTTGGGGTTCTCTCTCTCTCCCTCTGCTCCTCCCCTACTCGTGTTTTCTCTCTCTCTCTCTCAAAATAAATAAATAAACTTAAAAAAATTAAGTCATCAACCCAAGTTTGTGTTTCTCAAAGTGTGGACAGCATCTGTGCTGGAAGTACCTTTTCTTTGGTAACATAGATTCCTGGGCCCCAAGCCAGGCCTACTGAATCTCAACACCTAGAGGTTGGCCTGGGAATCTGCATTTTAAACATATGCACTCACCTCCTCCTCTTCCTGGTCATTATCCTGGCCCTGTATCTCTTCCTGAACCCCATAGGACACAGTCTGGATGGTGACATCCTCTTCTAGTTGGCCAGGTTCTGTGGACCGCTCCGTGGGCCCAGCCTGGGGCTCCCTGTTCTCTGTGAAGCTGGTCTCACAGCTGTTTGCCTTGGGTTCCTTGACCTTGTCCCTCCCCAGGAGGCAGGTGGGCCTGTACCAGGCCTCCACGGCCAGCTGCAGGGATCCTGGGTCCAGGAGCTGGTGGGTGCGAGCAGAGCCAGCACCACCCAGTAGGTAGGAGTAGAGTTTCTCCTGGCATGACCAGCTGGGCGAAGCCTCGGGGTAGGGGTAGGGGCCATGGAGGGGGGCAGGGCTCCGAGGCAGCAGAGGGTTCTGCAGTTCACTCAGACTCTCCATGGTTCCGGGGGCAGCTCCAGGGAGGGGAGCCTGGGCCAGTTGAGCTGTCCTCAGAGAGCCTGATGGGCGAGCAAGACAGACAAATGCTGAGTCCAGGGCTCTGGATGTAGGACTAGAAATGTTTAAGAACTCAGGCCCTCAGACCCTGCCTTTGCCACCGGCCAGCTGTGGGACCTTGAGTTGGCCACTTAGCTTCTCAGGGTGTCCCTTTCATAGTCTACAAATTGGGCATGGCCACAGTACTTACCTCATAGAGTTGGTTCATTCATTTATCCTGACAACACATATCAGTTGAGCATCAGCTCCCCAACAGGCAGACACTGGGGACACGGAGGTGAGAAAGGTGAGCAGAGAGAAGGGGACTCTTGGCAGAGAGTCTTCACGGAGCTCACGGCGGTGGCGAAGACACCTGCCCTGAAGGAGAAGGACATCAAGGGGCCTAAGAACGTGCAAGGCACAGAACAGACACAAAGGTATAGGGAAGGCTTGGGAGCTGAGATTTGAAGAAAGAGGACCAGTTGGTAAGGCAAGGGGAGGGGAACATATTTCATGCAGAGACCTGGATAAAGGATGTTTGCTCTGAGAGGCTGGGAGAAGGCTGGTGCCTCTCAAGGTAGAGACGGAGAGGTGAGACAGGGAGTGTGACCAGACTATGCAGCCCTGTTTAGGTCTAAGATGGCTTCCGGTGACTTGGCGGTAGGGGTTGGATAGGGTTTGGGTCCAGAAGCCTTGCCAGCGCTGTGTGGGGAGTGGCTTGGAAAGGGCTGGACTGATTGTGACACTGATAGGAGGCTTTGCCATGGCTTCAGGTAAGCTGAGGACAGCTGGGACTCAATGGTGAGGAGATGAAGAAAAGGGGAGGAGCCTTGGGAGATATTGACAGGACTTGGTAGCAGGTGGGATACTGGGTTGAGGAAGATTTGTTTTAGGGTTGGATGGGACCATGCTTGCTCAGAGCTCAGCACAGGCCACGTACTAATTGCAGCCGATTCTTCACAGGGAAGGATGCTTCTTCCCAGTTATGGTCTTAGAGGGGTGCTCCTTAGACTAATCCCTTCTCTAAGGTAAGTTGTGGTTTCAGGAAGTCCTGTGGGATCTAAGGCAGGGCCTCCAAGACACTAAAGTCTAGACTTGCACATCCCAGCTGGAAGTGTAGACACACGCAAGGGCTAGTGTAGACACCCTCTAGGACTACTTCTTCCTCCTTCAGCCAGCCCTGAGCACCTGGGAAGGGCACACAGTAGGTGCTCAGAGCTGGCTGAAGGAGGGAAAGGCAGTCTATACATGTGTTTACAGCAAAGCCCGCAGACATGCTGGGGTGTGGCAGGTAGAAATGGCATATGGAGAAGGGGGGGAGGCCCTCCCAGGGACCCTACTCACACCCTCCCAGCCCCATCATAATGTTGAAGGGTGATAGGGTCATGTCTTGCCCTGGATTTATAATCTGAAGATGGGAGAGTCAGTCCTGGCCTTGATACTTTGGGTCAATAATCATGCCCTCCTGGGTTTCCTCATCTGTAAAGTGCAGATGATAATTCCCGCCCAACTCACAAGGTTGTTCTGAGGATCCAAAGAGATGGCTGATGTGCCACTGTACATGATAAGTGGCAGGGGCTTCTATGCTGCCCAAGGTCATTTCTGGCCTGATGGTAAAGGGAAAAGTGTGGGAAAGGATTTATGCCTCCAGGGATGGGTTTGTCTAGGCCCCCTTCTCCACTCCCACTTCCCATCAGGAATCCATAGCCAGAGCCTGGCCATTTTTCTTTCTTTCCTAAGAGAAGTGGTTGGATTCTAGAAAGTTGGTTTTTGGGAAACCTGAAGACAGAGCATGGCCCCCGGAATAATGGGGAATGGGACAGAGTGAGGTGGGGGAGGCACAGGCAGGGCTAGGGGAAGGCATTGAGGGTGGGTCCATGGGGGGCCAGGGTCCCTTGGCTGGCCTGCTATGAGGGAGGAGTGAGGGCTGTTGCCTGCCTGGAGGCAAAGGAGGAAGAGAAGTCTGCCCTGGCTTTGTCTCAGAGGCTCTGAACCCGGAGAAGTGTGACCTCTGGGGCTGGGGCTCCAAGAATGTCTAACAGAATCCTGGTAGGACCCAAAGAAGGGCGTGTGGCCCAGGTGCCCAACTCTTCCTTCAGGGAGGGCACGCATGGTGCTGGGCTGCCCTGCACCTGGGGGCTCTTTCGGCACATGAAGCAGTTACAAGTTCTACTTGGGCTGTCACCCAGCTGTGGAAGAAGCTTCTCCACATGCAGAGATGGGACATCAGTTCTCGGGAGGGATGAAGCTCATAAATGCCAGGGCTTCACTACTTCTCCCTCTTCTTTCCTCTCTATGGATCAAAATGCAGGGGAGCCCCTGGGACTATAATATGTGGACAGGTTCCTTACTGCAGGTGGGGGCCTTGCTGGATCAGGCTTGTGCCTGGGCTCCTCTGGCAGATTCACAGTGGGACTGGTCTCTTCTGACCCCTGAGGGCAGTTTTTGAGTCCTTGTCAGAGCCTCCCCCACACCAGCAGATGTGACCTGCAGATGTGTAATTGAAGGGCACATGAGCATAAGGCTCATGGGTTTGGGAGTCAGGCACACTGGGATTCTATTCCTTACTCACCCACATTAGCTTATTGATCTGGCACCTCGGTTTACCTATCTGTAATAAGAGGGGCTGAATTAAATGGTCATCGATGGTGGCACTAGCACTCTATGAGCCGATAGCCTCAAGGAGCCCTGCAGAAGTCAATTCCCCCACTCCCTGTCCCCTGTCAAGACACAGGAATAGTTGAGCATGCTCAGAACCCAATGAGGTGCTACCTTCCCTATCATGACCCTTTGAGCACATTGAAGGAAGCAAAGGGAAGGCAAGGCATCTCCTTGTCAGATGCACATTAGAGCCATAGCATCATCCTCTGGCTTCCCAACTCCCCCTGGGCTGCCACAGTGCTGGCTCTGACCTCCATCTTGCCCACCCTATGGGATTCTAGGATATGGCTCCCACAGGTCCCTGGCCTCTCCTCGAGCTGGTCTTAATTAATGCCCCCTCTGCTTACAGCCTCAAGCCTGTTGCCATCTGCATAGGCAGAGGTGTGTGGGGGCCTTTTGGCAGGCTGCTGTGGGGAGGACCAGCCCCAGAGCCCTCAGAGCAGACTAATGCATCAACGTCACCCTGCCCTATAGCCTGAAGGAGGCATAGGAGGCCTTGGCAATCACCTGTCCAATCCCCCAGAAGGAAAGGAAGGATACTTGTGGCCAGGAATCAGGCCCCAGAGCTCGGGAGACTGTGGGGGCACTTGTAGGGCACCTGTCCTCTGTCCAAGGCAGGCAGGGGCACCTGGGTCCCAGCTCATCCCCCTGCTTTTGCCAGCCATCCTCTCTTGGTCAAAGTATATCCAGCTGAGCTACTGAAACCCAAACCACGAAGCGTTTCCTGGATTACACTCCTCTCCACCACACTGATGGTGCCTCTGGGCAGGAGCTTCTTAGCTTCAAGTACAAAGATGTATGATCCTGGGTTTCCACAAAAGGGACACACTGAAAGCCACCTGAATGTCCAACAATCGGGGACAAGTTAAATAAATTATGGTACAACAATCCAGTGGTACAAGGCCTTCGAACAGGTTTACAAAGAAGAATGACATGAGGAAATGCTCATTGCAGATTCAGTGAGAGGGAAGAAAAGAAAATGGTATGTGCATGTAATCTTAACTCTGCCAAAACGTCAATGGTGATTATCTCCGGGGGTGGGAGCACAGGTATTTTTCATTTTCCTTTTTACACCATATTTTTTCTGTTTCCCATATTTATGTTTTACATTGAGCATGTACTTCCTTTAAATCAGAAAAATATTAAGTGCATAGACTTCTTCTGAGCTGAACTATCTAAACTTGGTTTTAAGGCTTTCCAGGCTTGGGGTTCCTTCTAGGTTAAAAGGCTGAGCACAGCATCCAAGCCTGCCCTAGCACAGACAGACAGACAGACAGACACACACACACACACACACACACACACCTCTGCTTCCATAAAGCAACCAAGTTATGGGCTATAGCACCTACTCACAGTCCAGCCAAAGGTCACTGGTCTCTAGCAGGTCATGCTCACCCCAAAACCTGCTAGGGCCACATGGGAGTCCACTAAGCCAATCCTGGGGACCCAGCACTGAGTCCTGGCCAGAAGGAGGGGGTGGCAGATCCCAGGCCCAGGCTTCTCTACCTGTAGCCTCGCCTGACATTTTGGCCTATTGCTGAGGGCTACCTCTCCCTGTTCCTTGGAGTAAGGGTCCAGTATTCAAAGCAGAGTAATTTTCCTCTCCACTTCTGCCTGGTCTCATCTGGGCTGTGTGTGCCTGCTGTACATGTGGTACTGTATGCCTGCTTACTTGCTGGTGAGCATGTCTCTGCGTGTGTGTGACATGTGCACATATGCGCACAGGTGTGTGCACTCTGCTCTAGAGGGAAGACATGAGATGTCTGCAATTCTTTTTTTTTTGTTCTTTTTTTAATGTTTATTTATTTTTGAGAGTGAGAGAGACAGCAGGAGCGGGGGAGGGGCAGAGAGAGAGAGGGACACACAATTGGAAGCAGGCTCCAGGCTCCAAGCTGTCAGCACAGAGCCCGATGCGGGATTTGAACTCATGGACTATGAGATCATGACCTGAGCCGAAGTCAGATGCTTAACTGACTGAGCCACCCAGGTGGCCCAAGATGTCTGCAATTCTGAAGCTGAGGAGATTGCTCTAGATCGTACAGTTGGGCAAGAGGTCTGGGCCCTGCAAAAGGAGAGGGACAGGTGGACCTGGGAGGCCCCAGGTCCTGGCTTGTTTCTTTTCAAGCTGAGAACTGAGCTGGGCCCTAGGTTCTTTCCACTCCCTGATTTAGAGACAGAGAGCACACTGCCACCTTCAGACTAGGGACAGGACACCATACAGTAATCCACTGGGGTCCAATTACAGCCTCCCACAAGAGTCTGATTGTTCTGGGGTCCAATCACAGGCTGTAACACCAGTTTGCTTATCTATAAAATGTATGGAAGGCTAGAAGGGGTTGATTTTTTTTTTATTTTTTAAAATGGTTTTTATTTCTGAGAGAAAGAGAGACAGCGTGAGCGGGGGAGGGTCAGAGAGAGAGGGAGATACAGAATCTGATACAGGCTTCAGGCTCTGAGCTGGCAGTCAGCACAGAGCTTGATGCAGGGTTCGAACCCATGAACTGTGAGATCATGACCTGAGCCAAAGTCAGATGCTTAACCGACTGAGCCACCCAGGCACCAGAAGGTGTTGATTTTTAATAGCTCAGCTCAATATGACCCTGACATTCTATTGAGAGAGGAAGAACAATAACTTAACATTTATTGAGCTTTTTATCACGTGCCAGGAATTAACTGCTCTAAATGCTCATCTGACCCTATCATTTCTAGTGAGAGAG